TGTGCCGGCCTGCAGCTAAGTTGTCCCAGTTTCTTCGGCCACGTTCCGCCGCCGCCGTTTGGCAAAAGCACAGAGAACCGAGCACGCCGCAATCATCGCGGATCGCGAAACAATGCGCCGCGCAACGATTTGTTCTTTCTCGGAAACAAGGGGAGAGAGGAAGCAGAAAAAAAGGAAAAAAGAAAAAAAGAAAGAAAAAATAGAAAGTGGAAAGCCATCGAGATAGCGCGCCCCGATTCCGAACCGGTGATCGCTCGACCGTAGTTCGACAGCTACTCTTACCATTCTTCTAACATTTACCCGTGCACCGTTACGTCGTAAACAGTCCGCCGAGGGTCAACATTCGCGTCGTGCAGCGCACCTGTTTCTTTGGCATACCAACTTCGCGTCGCGTTGCACACAAATTTATGCGTGCCAAAAAAGAGGGGCTGGATGAGCTCGAACGCGTTTCATCGTTGGTAAGAACGCTCGCGGAACGTTTGATGCGACGTCTACTGTGTCAGTTCATCAAACGAAAATAATTATATATGAAAATATGTTAGAAAATAATATATTAATATAAAATAACACAAAATATATAAATATATATAAAATATATATTAATGTAAAATAATATGATTAAAAAATAATACATGCAAATATATGCAAAAATAATATATTAGAAATGTATAATATATTATATATACATTATATAATATAGTATATAATACACAAATATATACTATATAATATTATATAATATAGTATATAATATACAAATATATACTATATATACTATATAATATATAATATACTATAATATAAAAATATATTGGAAATATAAAATATATTAGAAATAAAATTTATATAAAAAAAATAACAATCGGCAAAGATATTTCCTACATCGTAACGTTGTGTCACGCGTTAAATCTAGGATAAGGTGATAAGATACAAACTCTTCTCTTATCAGTACGCTCCCGATGAAACAGTAACAGAATGTACACTCCATTTAGAAGCACACGTCCAATAAAAACTTTACAGGGAATTGCGCGCAATAGAATAAGAAAGAGAAAAAAAGAAAAAAACTATTTTGTTAGATCATTGATTGGCGTTCGAATATTTCAAGGAATCGCTCACGTTAGAGAGAAACGCGATAAAGAATTTCACCACTATACGACCTGGTGCTCGCAGGATGATACAACTCTCACTTTCTACCAGCCGTGGGGAGAGATGATCCATCGCGATGTAATTTCTGCATGCTTGGAACGTGCAGTTACAAAACAAAATAACCTTTCGCATCGAGCTGTCTCTGTCGTAACTCGTATTGATCTTTCCGCCATCAGCGCGTCTGAATTTCGAACGATCAGAATTGAATCTTACCGCGTCCACTTTCGACGAGAGAGATTTGAGTTCGACTTTGGTTTCAACGGAAAAAAATTAGAGACATTTCACACCGCGGATACGAAACACGGCGGGCAATCAACGATAAGCAGGCGTATTGGAAAACACAGACGGCCTGACATGGGAAACAATAGCAGAGATCGGAAACAATTATCGTGAATGCACGCGCGGTTTCGAGGCTGCGGAAACACAGTTCGGTGAGATGTCGCATTTCACGGACGACGTCTCTCTGGAGATAATAGATCTGACAACGCAAAACTGGCGTTGAACTCTAGATCGTGCATCTACGCCAAGTTTAATCAGTTTTTTGTCCGCTGGACAAAACGGACCGGTTCGCTGGGTTGTTTTCGCGTGTGAATCACTCGCGCGGCGAGCCTCGTAAATCACCGGCTAATATGAACTTATGACGTACGTACGTGGCTTAATACGCTGCGCGCAAATCGGTATAATGGAGTTTCAAGTGTGCGAAAGAGCGGGCCCGAGATGTAAATCGACGGTGGACCGTTGTATTAAAAGAAGAGAGTGACATTTGTTCCACGGGTTTCGCGCGAGATTGGAAAATTATTTAATTGACGCTAATTAAATTGACGCTTGGTTTCTAAACGGAGTGGATTAACACCCCTGAATGCCGCATTAGTTGATTGCTCCTTCCTTCCTCGTTGATTATCTACTATTAATCTTTAATATCGAATCGATGTTACGTATCAGTCGATAAAGGAGTTTCCATTTCGAACGAGCAAATAAATGATTATTCCAAGTTTCAACCGCGAGTGTTCATTCACTGCTAAAAACTAAAGAACGTGAAAATCCAAACATAAGGATCTACTGAAACGCGCGTTAATCAAAAGTGGAATAATAATTGAATAAGAATAATTTCCACCATGAATGTTCATAATGTCCCTTTTGGTGAGTACTTATATTTGCAAACAGATCTTTTCCCATACGAAACACACAAAAAGTAAAATACGAAAAATTTTACACGATCATTTTGAAAATAATTTTCGTATTGCCACTACCTGTATCGATACTGACGAACTGTTATCTAAAAAAACAACCTCGGTATTCTTATTAAAAATTTTCATACTTTTCTAATTAATATAATCTAATCAATGTATTGTTTCACTATAAATATCCTCGTAAATAATATAGATTACATTAAACTGGTAAAAACATATGTATACTATATGTGGCCTTCGATAAACTTTTGTCAGCCAATAAGGCCCAGAAAATCTAAAACCCACGCATGACGGGCCGTACTGGCCGGTGGCCGGGTCTCGCGAGACCCAAGCTACTAACTACATATATACATACATGTTCCAATGGAACGATGTACACCCATATGTAGTCGTTAGTAGCTGGTTCAATTTTATTTCTATTTTGTTATTTTTATTATGATTGTTATAACAATAGGATAGTAAGAAAAAAAAAACACCTTTTGCTACTTTTATTACCTATAAATAATTATTTATTTATAATTATTTATTTTCGTTGTACCTAATAAATTAAATCGCATTTATGTTTGCTACAAACAAAATTGTGACAATTGCTACATTTAGCGCTATATTTGTTGTCGATTGCCTATGCAAATAAAACATCTCGATCGTTTTAAGTTTGAAAGTTTCAAATTTTAAAAAATGGAAAACACTAAAAAGACTAAAAAGTACAAAAAAATGAAAAATACTAAACAAACTAAAGAATACAAAAAATGAAAAATATTACAAAACTAAAGAATACCACTAATGAAAAATACTGAAAACAATGCACTGAAATACACTTCCGGACTATTCGCTATGACTGCCTCTTCAGAACTGACTCGTACGTGCGTTCATCACCGATTTGACTTCTTATTGGAAACGTAATATGATCCCCATTTTTGATCGCCAAATAGTAGCCGTAAAGGCTAACTTTGTATGACTCACGCACAAAGTAGGACTTCAAACGGGTCACCGCAGACTCAGCCACCGTTATGCGAGGGTTAAAGAATACTTTCACGCGTAAGCAATTCCCAAATGCGGTAATAACGTATATACGAACTAACGTATGTACGTACAAGTTCTCGAGGCGATTCGCTGCACCTGTCCTTTTTTTTCTACCCGACGATTTATAAATTCGTAATTCAGTTTTCCGCGTAAAGCGTTTCAATGCAGACGAGCGTTAAAAACACACTCGTCGGCTTGATACTTTGGTGGCGCGACGATTTCAAGGGATTAATGCACGCTGTGCCGCTTCGTCCTTTGCATTCATGAATAAAGAAATATCTCGACGGTACTCCACCCATAAAACGCACGGTTATTTTGAATTCGTTCTCCCGCACACGTCGCGTGTCCGGACACGTGTTCGTGTATACGCACGGCTTCGCCCTATACATAATACAACAATTTATATCGAATGAAAAATCATTTGATCTCGAAACAACGAACGATCGACCGTGTGCAACTGAAGAAAGATGTTTTCAACGTATTTTATTGGTGCACTCTGCATGTTTTTATAAACGCAATGAAATCAAAACGAGATCACGATTATTAAAAAAAAACCAATGTTTGTTTGTCAAAAATTAAAGGGATGAAGTTTTATAGATAATTCAGTCTAATCGTTCCCTCCCCCCCAAAAATTAACAATTGATCTCGATTTAACTGGGTTGTCCGGTCTCAATTAAGCCGATTGATTGAACACTCAGGGCGTAATATTACAAAACCTGTGTATCTTAAAATTTATCACGCCACCGAGTAGAGTAAAACACAGATGCCGAATGAAAATAGATAGAGCAGCAAAAGATTCCAAACAGCCGACAATTATCCTTAGAAATGTCTAATTCGTAAATTACATTGAATTACCGCGCCAATTGCATGATCCCATGCTTTTCTAACCTCAATCGCCGAGAAAACAAAGAGCACTCCAAATGGCAAATTAAATACGTCGAGAAGAGTACAATCATCCTTTTTAATTCCATCTTATTACTAATAACACAATGGTACTAGCGTGATGCTGCTACTAATTTCCGTCAGCAAGTATGAAAACCGGCGGGTTGTGTACGCGGCTTTATACACGCGACGAACGCGAAATGAATTTATGTGTAAAATGACAGAAGTGACACACACGGGAAGACCTATCGGAAAAAGATGATCCAAGATTAGCGAGGTAACCTCTGAAAGTACGTACAAAGTTAGCTATCGGATTTCCTGGGGGAGGGCAGAAAACGTTTAAAATGTCAACAAGGTCGAAAGGCCGGGCGAGTTAATTGGCGCATGAATGTCACGGCGAATTTTAATCATCAAGTCTGCCAGTATAGAATCGTCCATAGAGACGCGATGAACTCCGGTTGAAATAATTTTAGCAGCAAGCTGAGAGATAATTTTCGAAATCGTTGGAACGTTACGCCTATGGGAACGAGTGAAATTAAATGAAAAAGCGTAACGAGTATTGTACCACGCTTCCGTAGGGAAAACGCGAAAGAAGAAGGCTCGGGTATGTCAACAAGCATCGATCGATAATGCTGACGCATACACGTTTCCGTACGATCTAACGGTCCTTTGATAAATCGTCGCGAAAGGTCGAATCGATGCGGTTCGCACAGCGTTACTTATGTAGAAAAGTATATTATATGAAAGAGGAGAGCTTACGTTGCCCGTTGTGGAGTTGGTTCGCAGCAACACAAAGATCGTCAAATATTCCCCCTCGAGGAGGAGGAGGGGGAGGAGGAGGAGGAGCAGATCGTCCGTGATCACTGTTGGTCCCTTTGTCCGAACTTTACGTGAAGGAAATGCAGAACGCTCAACGGCACAACAAGAGACGCGCGTAATCGGCGAGAGCCTCCAAAGCCTCCGACTGCTTCTCTCCGGCAAGAAAATCGAGACATATAACGGAGTACTTCTCTTTCCACTGTCACTGTGAACTTGTTAGCCGAACCGTGACCAGCCGCAATTACGCGCGATCTCGATCGAGATACACGTTACGCACAGAGCACCGGTGACTGACGTCGGTTCGAATTCTCGTCGGTTCTAGCTAGCGTCGGGAAAACCACCCCCTGCACAGCCGGCGCCCCAACAGCCATGTGCCGCCCTAAACCTCCGCCCATTGGCCCCGACGAAACATTCTACCGACTCCTGATTGTTCCACGGTTCTTTCTGTTACACGTCCGAATCGTAACCGAATGAGAATTTCGAACGCACGCTGGGTCGGGCGTTTGGTCCGTGTTACGTTATCATGAGCGACAACTCTGCACGACCCATCCCTGCGGGAGCTCGCCAAGAAAGGGGGAATGGGAAAAGACCGACTGACAAGACGTCACGTCTCCCGGGAGCGCTTCGATCTCTCTGAACTCACCATATCTACCGCACAGCTGGCCGCGTGTCTATACATAACACTGGCGAATGCACCAGGACCGACGGACAGCCCGTAATTTTGACGTCGTTACGCAGAAACGTGGGAGAACTTTGCCAAACGAGGTACACACACCGCGCACGATCTTCACCCGCAAATCGAGAAAATGGCGTTGCTCGCTCCCTCGCGCTCGTTCGCTCTAGCAATATCTCAAGCTACGCTGATGTCTATCGTTGGCAACTAGCGCCCATTCCTCGACGCGAGGAATCTGGTAACTAACGCGCGGGAAAATCAAAACACCTTTCCCTGCTGGACAGTAATAATTTTTGAAAATAAAGAATATTATCTATTTAGAATATAATAATATTTGAAAATAAAGAATATTATATGAGCTAAAGAACGTTCTACGGAATGATTTAGTTGCTTGTAAAAATAATACGAACGTTTACGAGAAATTTGACTTTAGCTAATAAAGCAAAGGATGTACACTTTAAGAAATACGTGGCGCCACTTACTACACGTATGTGATGGAATGAAAATATTGCCGGTTCATCCAAATAATCCCGCGAGAGTTAAGCAATTACAATAATATAAGCCTAAGAACTCAATTTGTTTTTAACAATAAATTGGAAATAATTGAATTGTATCATGGCTGATGAGACAGAGCAGGTAAGAATGCTTGATTCAGAGCTTCGAATATAACTTTTGACCATAACCTCAATATACATTTCCAGGTCCCAGCAATAAATGTTAAAGAACCCCTAGATCTTATAAGATTAAGTCTGGATGAGAGAATATACGTTAAAATGCGGAACGAGAGAGAGTTACGAGGACGATTACATGCAAGTATCAATTTTATCTACATATTGTATAGGTAATATGCATATATCTTTTAACCTATTTTATATCTAAAGATCAAAACTCTTAATTGAAGGCATACGATCAGCACTTAAATATGGTGTTGGGTGAGGCAGAAGAAACTGTAACTACAGTAGAAATTGATGAAGAGACGTATGAAGAAGTTTACCGTACAACTAAAAGAAACATCTCTATGCTTTTTGTTCGTGGTGACGGAGTAATTTTGGTTTCACCACCGAGCATGAGAGCGCCAATATAAAATTTCTATTTATATATAATTTAGCTAAGAGATAAGTAATATAGAATTAAGTTCCATATTGATATAATCTTTTATAATTTAAACGTGATAAAATTGTGGTACACTGTATTAAAATAATACACATGAATTAAAAGTTTATAAATAATGTAAATTGTGGGGTACAATGTTATTTAAAATATTCTTAAAGAATTAACTTTTTTCAAATTCCAATTATACTATATTTTCGTTCGAATTTTTGAAATTGTATTAACTGTAGCAGTTCTTGGAGTAATACTTTGTTCTACGGGTTTCATTAATTGTGATGTGAGATCCGTAATTCTTTGATCTTTTAGCTTTATCAATGATTCGAGATGAGACAATTTTTGATGAAGCATATTTATTAATTCATTCTTTTCTTCCAATTCTTGTTTCAATCGAACGAAAACGTGGCGCGGAACAGTTTTATTTGCTATTTCTTCAGGATTAAGCACCGACTTAACAACTTCTTCTCAAGAAATAAAATTTTGCTCAAACAATTTCTTGCACAAATTTTTATACGAGATTTTATATTTTTTTGCAACTGTTCACTTACCCTGTTTTTCGTTTTCCTCGTACTCGGAATACAAGGAACTCCTATCTGCATTACAATCTTTTAAAATTTTTGTACGCACTTCAATTAAAATTTTTTCAATAACACCAGACTGCGAATTTGCCAGTTGATGAATCACATCCTTTCCTAATTTTATGTCAAGTTTTGAAAGTACCTTGCGATTTAAAGTACACCAATTATCTATCTTCTTTGCAATACTATTTCCAGGTATATAGTTATGTATATCGACGTATCTGGGGTAGTATCGCTTTAATAATTCAGCCATAAAGACTGAAAATGATTAAAATATATTATAAATATAACGTCATGCAAAAAATTGCAATGTTACTTGATAAAACAACATCTTCGTTTTATACCGCCGTCAGAAAAATCTCGCGCAAGATTTTTCTTTGGTTTGGAAAACGGTATTTGCTCGATCCAAGTGTATATTTCTTCGAGATTCGCATCAGTTTCCAATTCTACGCTCATATTTCTCTTTCATTTAGTGAAATACGGAAGTGGGTCTTTCATACATTGAAAATTTACGAATGTCACCGTTACATTCGTATTACATTCTGTCAACTTGCAAATTTTTTTTAAGTTGACATAATATATATATACTGCGAATGCAACTTCATTTGGGTTCCTTTCTGTTCACATTTTGATCTTGGAACTGTTCTCATGACAAACATCACGTGTGCTACCTTGCATCAGATTAAGCAACGATGACCAAACTGACTTCAAAGCTTCAACTATTGCATCTTACTTAGCTAGAAAAATTATGTTCGATCACATAAAGTTAAACGTATATTAATAAATCTTTATTTTCACCTTCACGATTGTTTTCGTCAGAAAGAATCATGTTCTTTTCATACAATTAATTTGAAATATACAATCCCTTGAATAATATATCAAAAACCATCAAGTTAATATTCACTTTACATGTCAATATGGATATTCGTAAATAAATGTTAAACAAACCGGCAATCGGGAATAACGTTTCTCGACAGTGTTTGTTCTACGCGCACTCATTAAAATCATTCTCGGAATCAGTGGATAGGTTCAACGTAAATATCACACGATCACACACGTCACCACGACGAAGGTGTTTGAAGACAGTGCGTATGAGCCTGCGTTCACGCGGGCTACGGCATTTATAGAAGAGGCGCACGCTCGTACTCCTCCGAAAGGCTTGGAGAATCCGAAACTTCGCGTTCGTTCTCAGTAGCACGTTGCACGCACGAAGAGCCGAATCAACTGAAGAAACAATGATTTCACCATCTAAATCGATAATTATCAATTAAAATTCGACAAGTTCCTTGAATAAATTACTAATCTTTCAAATTCAAGTTCCTTTTTTCAACGTGAAATTGAAAGTAACGAGTGGCAGCTGGTTAATTATAAACGTATTAAAAAGTTAAATTCTTAGTGGCGCCACCCGATAAAAGATTTTAATCGCAAAGTGTTTCACAGAAACTACATTTTGAAATCGTTTCCAAGTGGTGGTTGATTAACAATTAAGGAGAAACTATGCCCGGAAAAAACAATTCCCACGGTGAGTAATTATAGTCTTTTCACTTTGAATGTATTTTCAATTAAAAATCGGATATTAATAACGCTGGCAAAGAAGTGGGGATGATGATTGAATTCCAATTCTTCATCGCGCTTTTCTTATGGAAGGTCCCTGTGACCTTCAAGTGTCCTTCGGTCTAGAATATTGTATACTTCAATCTTTTTCCTTGAATCATTAAACCTGACTTTCGATTGATCTGATTTTCAGATTATCGAATATTAGATAACTACATAAAAGATAAAAAAAATTAAAAGAAATGTTCAAATAATCAGACAATTCGAAAATGGGCCGCATGATGTAATTTAAATTAAAATGATAATCAAGTTGCACACTTGATGTTTTTCGTAAGGTATTTCTCAATTTTGTCGTGGTACATATGGCAACTTTGTATATTTGATTTACGTAAATGATAATCGTCCTTATAAATTTTTATCTCTTTATTTCGCTATATTTTTCGTTATATTCTCCATTTAAACATATTTATATGTGTCATTGATAATCTATAATAATCCAAAATGAAAATATCAAATTATTAATCGACTTTCGTTAAAGTATATTCTGTCGTGTAATAAATAAATTTCCTTAACGTTTAACGAGTGAAACTTTCGAATTTGTTGACTTATATCTGATATGTCAAAAATAAATGCATCCAATAATAAGATATAAAAGACATAAAAAGAAAGATTTAAAAACTTACAAAAAGCGGCAGTAACAAGTAAGCAATCTGCTTATGATGATTTATCAAATATACGGCGATAAAATATTATTTATCGAAATATACATGATAAAAATATACAATCATAACATCCTTTCATATCAGTATTTCATTGCAACTTGTAATTGTACAAGATAATATTTAAAGAAATATCTCGAACCAAGTCTTTCAAAAAATTGTAAAAAATTGTAGTTCGCGGGAAAGAAGTATATTAGTTTCATACGCGTGCAATCTTAAAAGCGTGTAACAAACCGGCACGGCTGAAGAAGTCGAAGACCTGAAAGCACGTTCTGTATTTCGTGCCAAACGACACGTGTTCTATTCACGATTTTCCCTACGACATTTTATTGCCAATTAATCATATCTAAAAATATCTAATCTATATCCGAATCTATATCTAAAAATACGTTCCTATTTTATTTATAGGAAACATTATGTTCCCTATACGGTATCTGATGGCAATTATGGGTTCTATCGGGCTCGCCATCATCTACGGGTTCAAGGTAAACGTGAGCGTGGCTATCGTAGCTATGGTGAACCACACTGCTGTAAAGTTATCCACGTTGCATCAACTGGAAACTGAGAATAAGACTGCAATTAGTCTGAACGAGTGTCACTACGACAGTGCTCTTTCCAATACAACCAAAACTGTCACTGAGGTACGTATTGTTGGTATTATTTGTTTTACAATAAATAATAATTTCAATTGTTTTCAATAACAATTTTACAATACTGTTAGCCTACTTGGGAAATAAAATATTTGCCTTTCAACAATCCTATTTTAACACAATTGCGATGAATGAAAATTTGATATTGCTATTTATACATATAAACAGGATGGCCCATTCGTGTGGAATGAACCTTTACAAGGTCTTATTTTATCATCATACTTTTGGGGATATATGGTATCTTTAATTCCGGGTGGAAGAATGGCTGACCTCTTATCTGCTAAATGGGTGATGAATGGATCGGTACTTCTAAACCTCGTGGCATCTATATTATCACCTGTTGCTGCTAACATGCATTATTCTCTTTTTATCCTGATGAGAGTCATTCAAGGAATAGGTGGTGTTAGTATTTGAAAAATTGCCAAATGTTCAAACTAAGTATTAAAATTAAATAAGAAATAATTGAAGATCAAAATCAAATTAAAATTAAAATTCAATTAAAGAAAATTAAGTAAGGAATATATTTTCAAACTGTAGGGTGTAACATTTCCCGCAATGCACGTTATGGTTGCCAAGTGGGCTCCGCCAAACGAAAGAAGCGTCCTTGCCTCGATTATTTATGCAGGTGAGACAAAATTTTTATTCAATTTGAATTAGAAAACATTGAAACTATTAATCAATTTTATTTTTTTGTAGGAACTGCACTAGGTACTGTAATTTCTATACTCTTAACGGGAATACTGGCTGCTAATCTCCAATGGGTCTGGATATTCTACATTGAAGGTATACTTTGCCTATTTTGGTGTATAGCGTGGTGGATTATGATTGAAGATAATCCAGAAAAGCAAACAAGATTTATTAGCCAAGAGGAAAAGGATTACATTATGCAATCCTTGGGACAGAGCGAAAATAACGGCGAACACAATGAGGTTTATTAAACTTTATGTAAAATCATACTTGATAGATTTTTGTACTATATATTTGATATTTTCCTTCATTATATTGTTTAGAAACCAACAGTTCCATGGGGCAAGGTGTTACGATCCAAACCATTTATGGCAATCTTAATCGCTCACTTTTGCAGTAATTTTGGCTGGTACATGTTGCTTATCGAATTGCCTACTTTTATGAATCAAATACTGAAATTCGACATGAGCTCCGTAAGTGTCGGGTAAGAATTTTGGAAATTAATATTGCTAATAATTCTCTTTTCTTTACAGAATGCTGGTCTTTCTTCTATGCCATTTTTATGCATGTGGATTTTCACTATGGTTCTAAGTAAAATACTTGCCACTATGCAAGAAAAAAAATTGATTACGGTGACAATGTCTAGAAAAATTGGAACATTATTTTGTAAGCCTATTACTTTACACATGTACTTTGAAAATTGAGCTTGGGAGTAATTAGTAAAAAAATATTTTAATTTTCAGCATCTGTTGTTCCCATGTTTTGTTTAATAGGAGTATCATATGTTGGTTGTAGTCGAACATTAGCTGTTACATTAATGACTATCGGAGTAACTTGTATCGGTGGAATGTATAGTGGATTCTTATCAAACCATATTGATATTGCTCCAAATTTTGCTGGCACTCTTGTTGCCATTACAAATTGTGTTGCTACTATACCTGGATTTGTAGTACCAATATTTGTTGGTAAACTAACACACGGAAATGTAAGTACTTATTTATTATTAAAATATCACTAACATTTCAACATAATAAACCAAGTTGTCCATAAAAAAAAAATACTACAGAATAACAAAATAAAAATTTCCTAATATACAAATTTATACAAAGTTATTTTACATCTAGAAAGCTACATACTTTTTCGATTTAACTTTTAATATTAAGCACACTGAAACATTTCCTTGTCATTGATATTCGAATTAAAATACATTATATCAAATTTTTTTATAGCAAACTATAGGGGCATGGAGGATTATATTTTTTGCAACTGTCACTCTATATATAATTGAGATATTAGTCTATACTATTTTTGGAAGTGGAGAAGAACAACCTTGGAACAAAACTAAACCAAATGATGATGAAGCTAGTGATCAAACATTACCACTAAAAGAAAATTCAACGAAATAAATGTAATTTTTAAATGTATAATTTAAATTACTTTTTAACAAATCTTTGACTTTGTACTGCATAAACATTTATTTTAATAATCTTATTATGTAAAGAAAATTATTCAAATTAACGAAGCATCACCTACACTACATAATTTCCTACATAATTCAATAACACTATCCTCTTTTTGTATGAAATTATTTTCATTTTTCACATTATTTATTGTAACAAATTTTTTACATTACGATTACGCACGTACATATTTGTTAAATACCATCTCTTAAACAATGTGTTAGACATTCACAATAATATTTGCATTAGAAGTATAAATTATTTAGCTATTTAATCTTAATTGTCAAATGGGCTATCAGTCACTCACCTTTACTGTACTTTCTCCATTTTACAAAAATACATTGGTCCCCAATTATTTTGAAGAGTTGGTATAACAATATGACCATACTTTAAATCAATGTTACCAAAGTTATATATGCATTGTAGAGGCAATAATGCTTCTGTCATATCTCTACAAAAATTACAGAATATATTAAATAATGAAAATAATATTATTTATTCAAAAACACATATGAAATACATACTTTACAACCATAACGCAATTATTTTCTTCCCATGCTCTTTTCAGTGCTACTTGTACAACACCATCATTTTGTACGGGACTAAGAGCACACGTTGAATAAACAACTGTACCTCCTACTGAAACTAATTTCAATGCAGTCCTATAAAAAGAAACTCCAATTATTTATTATAAAATAAAACACTAAACTAAAATATATTTCATTCATTTCACTAACGTCAAAATCTCAGCCTGAATCTCTGGCATTTTTAATCTTTCCTTAGTTCTACTTGGCTTGAAAATATTATTATCATCAGAATGTAACATGTGTCTATCCGTTGTACATGGTACATCAACTAAAATCTAAAAATATTAAGAAACACAATGCATTAAACGAACTATTGTTTCTCTCACAAAATATTAAATAGTAGAAAACATTGTACAAACATGGACACCTTATTATATCTACCATTTTCATCAATTGATCTACCATCTTGTTGTGTTATAATTAACATATTTTGTCCTTCACAAATGTTTGAAACATACTCGTTCATAACATTCTTGAGTCTGTTTATTCTAGATTGCCCAACATCATTAGCAACTAATACACGGGGCATAAGAGTTTGAAATATGGTTAAAGCTTTCCCTCCAGGTGCAGCGCACATATCAAGCACCATATCATTAAATTGTATATCTAGAGCCAGCACAGGAAGTATAGATCCACCATCAAACAAATAATAATCTGAAAGATATAAATTACATCATTTGTATTTGTATTTATATAACAATTCATAAAATATTCTAAAATATATACATATTTACTATTATTAAAATTTGAAAAAATTGAAAGAAATATTACAAACCTGAAACACCAGTAGATCCCTTTTTAGGATTTGGAAATCTAGTGTAATTTTCTCTTTCAAAGGTATACACGTACAAATGTTCTGGAAATGACAGAACAGATTCTTTCTCAACATTTATTCTGAAATCACTGGCTTTATCGTAAAACTTATAATGATCAGACTCCAAAACCCAATCATCCAAGCCTGTAAAATTGATTTGTAAGTATTTAATATCTTAGTTTTAATTAAAGAAATTTTACAATTAAACAAACCTTTTATTTTGGTAGTAGGTATATATTCCTGAAGCATAGACAAATCTAGAGATGAATTGACAATACGATTGGTATCTAATTCAACCTCATTTAGATTTTCATCTATAGATTTTAATTCTATATGTTTTTGTCTGTCATTGTTAACAAATTCAGTAGATTCGGCATTCAATGCTTCGAATAAATTTGGACGATTGGCAGGATGAATAGTCTGAAGTTCTGCCAATTGATCTTCAGATGTTGTAACTTGCTCTAAATTTTGCTCATCTTGTGATTCGGCTTTTCTTTTAGCTTCAAAAAAATCTAAATTTTCTTTGTGCACATTGTACAAAGTTCTTAAATTTATTGCACCAAGTAGCTGAAATGATTTTATCCATACAAATTTTCAACACTTGCAGTATTTTTAGTTTACAGTAACATTAGGGTTACAATAATATACCTCTAGCTCAGACTTGACTCTATCCGGATCACTGAAGTTGTTAACCACAGCCATATATTTGGTTTCTTCTTTCAACAATGCGGCTCGTATATCCGGCCACTTTTTTCCATAAACGTTTGCGTAGAACTCGTCGAAATGTTCGAGTGCTTTGTCTCTCACCGTTTTCAACTTCTTCAGTTTGGCCTACGGGAACAATTATACATATACTTTTGTAAATGCGTTTAACCAAAATGTTCTGATCCGCGAGTTACAGAGATACGAACCCAATGAATCTTCTTATGCGCGTATCGAGCAGAGACATGCACGATCTGTTTCAACGTCAACATATTAAGCAGCACTGCCATTCTTTCGAAATGTCTAAATAACTAATTCGAGGGGCGTCATAACTTTTCCACAGCTCGCAAGTACATACGTTCCCAACAGTGCCTGGACATGAAGAAACGAAGAAACGGAAGTGGCGGCAAAATTTGTTGCTCGGTATCGCCGCTCGATGGCGCTACCTGTACGTACGTTCAATTCTCCTTCGAACGCAAGAAGTGGTCGACGTCGATTAACCGTTAGTGAGAGCGGTGTAAAAGAAGAAGGGCGTGATCCGGTGTGAACTGCAGGTACAGGTGAAACAGGACAACCGACAAATCCACGAGTTACGGTACCATCATCGGTGCCACTTGACTAGCACTGGACGTCGCATCTTTTCTTTCTCCATCCAGCATTTTACCTCCACGTAAAACCCTTTCTTTTTCTACTTTTGCCGGCCTTCCTCGTCACGACCTGAACGCGTATCAAAATCGCAATGTTACATGCGTGCGCGCAATACGTATCAAAGTACATACGTACGTACTGTATCAGATGCAGACGACAAGGAAGCAAGGTATTTGTCGTGACATCGAGATGAGAAACGTGCCGAGCAAGATGGAGTGAATGGGGGATGGTGGGGATGGGGACGAGCATATCTTTGTACTCCCCTCTAGCGAAGGCGCCCGTGCGCCGTGAAACGTGGCTGTTTCGAAAGTTCCTACTCGAAGAACCTATTTTAGATGCTATAAACCATTCCGACTTGTAAATCGTCTTCGAAGGCAAAGTACGAGCCTTGATACCTAAACAATAGAATTCGAACGTATTTTCGAGGGAAAAGGAGAGGGGAGGGAGGCTTGAAAAGCCTTTCCTCGTGATTTACAAGACTTTAACGCTCGACCTTTTCCTCTCGGAAAAGAATTATTTACGACGTTCGATACACGATAATCTCAGCGTGAAGTTCTCCTCCTTGAAAATATAACGCACTCTCCTCCCCTCTGCAGCCGCGTGGCGTTCGACTTGGAAAAAATTCCAATCCGCAGTCCATAGAGTGAGAAATGTAAATTGAGAATCGAGCAGTGAGGCCGACGCGATAATCTTGTTACCCTCGAAACGCGTACAACATACTCCGGTGAAAGTCTCCACTGTGGACTGTCGGTGGACGCGAGAGTTCAGCGTTCTCAGAGGGGAACGAAAGGAGAACGTGGTCGTCGCGCAGGAGATTCAGCTCTTTTGCTTGCAAGCGAGGAGATCCAGAACTCTAGTTCCATGGGGTGCGGTATACCCTGAGACACACACACACACACATTCTCTCTCTCTCTCTCTCTCTCTCTCTCTCTCTCTCTCTCTCTCTCTCTCTCTTTGTCTCGATACTTTCGTGTTCATTGTCACGCATACAGAAAACTCTTCCTCTCGATGAATCTCGACGACCCGAATCGCTCGACGGCGAAGCTGGTTTCGTGGATCTCTTCATGAGAGGCACGTCGTACGCGATTTGTCGGGGCACGGGGTGTGACGGGGACTCGAGGGATCGTAAAGGCAATGCACTGTAAGGAGCTCACGACGACTATACCCGCCCCTCGCCCCTCGCGTGTTCGCGCGCGCGCGCGCCGTCCTCCCTCTCGTTCTCTCGCCACCGTCCCTTTCTCTCCCTTCTTTCTTTGCTCCCTCTCTCCCTCCCGCCCTCCCTCTTCCTTTCCTCTCAGCCCCTCTCTTTCTCTCACTCTCACTCTCTCTCTCTCCCTCTCCCTCGTCGCCTCTCTTTCTCTTTCTCTCTGTCGCTCTTATCAGAGAGCCTCGACAGTACGACCTCACTCATACTCTCTCGTTCTATTGCTCGCTCGGCTGATCTTTCGAGGAGGGCGCGTTGGGGCGCTCGCCAACCACTCGTGCATCCTCTGATTCGTGCTCTGTTTCGAAATTTCTTCAATAACGAACGAAATTCGCTGTTCCTTCGGAACCGCCGCGCCTCCCCGCCTCCCCCCTCCCCCCTCCGCTTTATAGCGCGCGCGCGCGTGTGTTCCCGCGCGAAGGGAAACGGCGAGGCCAGAGGACTCGGAAGTTACGACATCCGGTACACAATACTACCGTTTCCTGTCTCTCGTGACCCTTGGTCTCACTTGGTCTAGTCCACGTGACCCCGCCGTCTCACCTCGCTCAATTTCGATTTAACACGCGCGCACACGCCTCTCACCGCCACGCGCACTCAACGAATATCGCCACGTTGGTTTTTCGAACACTCGACAACCTTCCTCCCCTCTCGGGTTTCAAACTTTACTTTCTCGAATTCACGTAGACCAGGCTACGGTTGTTCGAGTGTCTTGCATAGACGAGCAGACTTACCTTCAGCAATACGTCGCCGCGATCTCTTTTGTCGCCGATCGCTGATGGTTCGATAGAGAATCCTCGTGAGAGAGCTCTTTGATATATCTCCTCCTCGTTGGCCTGCGAGCACACGCACTTGGCACAAGCGAGCCATCTTGGCACAATACGTTTCCCCACAATAGGTGGTTGATTTCTTTCTAAATCTCCGGCGCGTTTCCACGCGCGACGCGATGGCTCGAAGCGCGCGGATACATTCACCGCCGATTGTCCCGCAGGAGCGTGCGTACCGCGTGCTGTGCGCGCTTGGAAAAACCTCTGGACAAAAGAGGCGAAATCACTCTGATTTGGACCTTTTCGTTGCCTTGTTGTCGGTGCGCCTTGCTCCTATCTCTCTCTCTCTCTCTCTCTCTCTCTCTCTCTCTCTCTCTCTCTCTCTCTCTCTCTTTCTCTCTCTTTCTGGCTGCGAGTTTCCCGTCGTCACGTGCATGCATGCGTGCATGCGTACATCGCGGCATGGCGAGTGCATACATGCCAGGTCGTTGAACGAGCAGGGGGTACCGAGGACAACAGTAACGACTGCACCAACCCACTTGTCTCGACCCTATACAAGTCACGTGCACGTACAGTGCTCGGCAATAATGGTCCCCAGAGGGTGTGACCTATTCTATATGCTGGATTCTCGCGCTCGGGCGCGCGCTCGCCCGACTTGCTGGTACCAACATACTTTGGTACCGCGGACTCCCCATGGAAAACAGCGAATAGAAACGTTTTATCATACAGGCACGGTTTTGTCCCGGCTCTTTTCGTTGTTTCGCCGCGAAATATCGAAGTTTCCCGAGCAAAATCCTCTCGATTAGTAACCGATGCATCTCTGCAGCGAGCTTCCCTTATGGGTAAAATAAAATAAACGGATGAAACGATTGAAGCAGAGAGAAGCACGAATAATCGCAAGGGAACGAATAAAATTTTTCGCTCGGCAGATCGTTCCGCTTGAAACGAAAGTAGTAACAGCGCTGGCTCGGATAATTCCTCAGGCTCGCGGTATCATTTCAGAGCCAACGAACCTGAAATTCTCAGCGTTCGTTACAACGATAGCAATAATTAATAATAATAAATTTCGCTGCACCGATACACCAGACAAATTCGCGATTAGGAAAACGAGCTATGTATCCATGTTTTATTAATGATACCGATGAATAAGTGATCGTAAAGCATTCGCAGCCTCGCTCAGCCGATGGTACTTTGTTGCAAGACACGCCTCTCTCTCTCTCTCTCTCTCTCTTTCTCTTTCTCTCTGTTACACACGCTTGTGCAGTCTCCCTCTTTCTCTCCGCTATTGCTTTCTTCGACGAATTTAGCGTGGCGAAGTCCCACTCGTTCAAATATTTTGAGCCCCTGACTCGAGATATTCACTGTCTGTCGGTGGATTGCGAAATACGCGGCTCGTACGGTGTCGGACGATGTACGAGGACGAAAGTAGGTAGGTAGGTAGGTAGGTGGGCAGACGGAAGTCAGTTTAACGGTATCACCTGAGAGTTCAGTCAGGCTTCGATCCTTACGCGTGGAACGGGGTTTCACGAAATTCGTAGTTTTCTCTCATGGCGAGAGAGTTTCTTCCTCGCGGCGTTCAGGGCGTACTCGTATAGTTTTCTCCTCTTTTTTTTTTTTTTTCTTTTCTTTTTTCGTTTTTCTCACGATCCGTATGGGCCGTTTGCCAGTAAGGACAACATCCCGGCGTAGGAACAAGGAATCTTCGCTCTGTAACGAGATTTGATCGTTACACGCCCACCATCGAATCGAACTTGAAACGAGAAAAAAAAGAGCGTGCGTTCTTTCTCTTCTTTCGAGAGTCTGTCGTTTCTTTTCTAGGCGGACACGACTACAACTTACAAGGTTGTCGTGCATTTCAACATTATACACTGGGCGTGAAGCGAAAAAATTGAAGAAAACTCGAAATAAATTATCCAATACAAGGTTCAACCTTTAGGAGATCGAAGAAATCTAAGTTCCTTCTTCTAACTGCTAATCATTTTAGAAGATTCTGAGTCAACGAACTCATTAAGTACCTCGGTACTATTTTTCTATGAATTCTCTCTCACTGCTTGTGCGGTGTGCTCGGCAATGGAATTTAAAACGCTCAGATACAATTAAATCCTCCATGCACGTGTGAATTACCATGGAATTCAACCACGTGACAGGGTGCACCGAGGTTTTCCCAGGAACGGTTCCTAGTTTCTTTCGTTTGCACGGGGTTGTTGGGGAACGGTGGTCGTCAGGGACGAGGGCATTGACTCTCTCACTGCCACGCCACTCCCACACTGCATTACGTCAGGCTACGTCCACTGCATCCTGCTCATCTTCTCGACATTTTACGAGGGCTTACACTCTCTACCCGGCGTAAGTGTTCGCGGCGCGGGGTTGCGGTTCGCGCGGCTCCTTCCGTGTTCCCCGAACTTGCCGATTTACCCGCGAGAGAAAGACGGAGGAAGACACGCTCTAAATCATAGTCTAAAACTCGAGCAAACAGGAGAGAAGTTGGGTTGATTAGAACGTTCCTCGGAACGGCTGCCATTCTTGTTCTTGACTCGCTGAACCGAGGAAATCAGACATGTACTATCTGCATCTGTCTGTGTTCTCTTCACAGAGGCACTCGTTTTTGTTTAACGATGATAATAATACGAGATAAAGAAATACGTTCCTTATCGCTTTCGGCAGAGCACACGGATAGAAGAGTATCGATATACGTAATACATTCGATTTGGACACGCACGTTAACACACAAGTCGAAAGACTTGTGTACACACAAGATGAATACATTAATTTTAGAATGGTACCACGCAACCATGATCACCTTCGACTTTGGCCCACCGGGAGAAAGTCATCGAAATAATCACCGAGATTCCCTAAACGTTGTTGTAGCCAAAGTGTTCGTGCACGCGCGTAACTAGTCAGGTTACTCGGTTGGACCAAAGGGAGCCGTCGGTGCTGGTGATGGTGCTGCTACAGCAACAACCTGTTGCAACCACCCCGACACGCCATAGCCAGCGGGAGACGTCCAACTGGTCCGAAGTAAACTAAGAAGCCACGTAACCACTGGCGGCCAAGTTGCCACTCCGGCGAATTTGCGCCGTTTAAGTGCAATAAGCCGTCTCGTCTTCGACATTTATTTATCTTCGCTCGAACGCCATTGCGACAACGATTCTTCAACGATGTGTTTTAAAACGACGTTTTGCAACGTGAATTTTCGTTTCGTTGAGAAATATATATTTTCTTTTTTATAGAACATTTTGGACATGTTTCTTACGACGACGGGGAAAACAGGTGCACGCGGGTGTCTTTAATAATCCCCTGCAACATCGTCGAGCCCCGATTCGGTACAATGCCAGTCCAAGTCCTTTTTGAATCGAATTGAAATTGAGTTTGCTGCAGCTACCTGTGTCTACCTGCTTAAGCTGCGACCTTTTTTAGGGTGTGGAGAGAGAGAGAGAGAGAGAGAGAGAGAGAGAGAGAGAGACGCGCGACAAGAGGGAACGGAGAGAAACAGAGTGAGGCAGGGACGAACAAAGGGCGTATTCACGCGTCAAAAGTCACCACAGCGTAACGATAGGGTGGTCCATGGTGAGAGACCTGTAGGACCTACATTGGTATTTCTGCGTGACAGCCGCACTTGTCGCGCATTTACTCTTCTCGCTTGACGAGAGCTTCGCTAACCAGTCGGACGTGAATCTGGTTGGCCTGCCACTGTAAACGTAACTTTCACGGCGAAACTTTAGGGAAACGTAGACATTTCCGCGGGCAAATAACAAATTTCTTTTTTCTTTTTTTTTCTTCGAGCAACACGTTTTTCGTCGGTTTCGTTACGGTCCGTATACTTTCGTTTCACCGTACGGCGTATGGATCTCTCAACCGACGAGGGGAGGGGGGAAAAGGAATTCAATCTGACGTGAATCTGGTACGATAAAACTTTAGGGAAACGTAGACATTTCCGCGGGCAAGTAACAAATTTTTTCTTTTTTCTTTCTTTTTTTCTTTTTTGAGCAACGCTTTTTTTCGTTGGCACGTTACGTCCCAACGTATGGTTTCGTTTCACCGTAACCCGTATGGATCTTTTAACCGACGAGGGGAAAAGGGATTCCAAGTCGTAGGAAATAACACGTGCAGTCGAAAAGCTAGGGCCGAGGAGAAACGAGAGAAAAGTCGGATCTTTAGTAGGTCAACGGTGATGTTGTTCCTTCCCTTCGGTGATTACGTCATCGCGCCTCCCAACTCGCGCCCGCACAGCCAACGCTGCACGTATCGGCAACGCTCGTCGGTGTGTATGTGAAGATATGTCGTGCATGTGTACCAGCTCCGTTCCTACGTGTATACTTGACCACCCACCAGTCCACCCACTTAGAGAACTATGGCTATGTGTTTTAACATACCAGGTATCAGTCACGTTTGCGCCCGAGCCGTACAAAAACCTACCGCCGAACGACTTTTTACGACGTTTTCCCGAATTTTTTGGGAACCGTCTTTGACACAGAGAGACGAAACGGCCGCGATAAGATGAGAAGTTGCCGCAACTCTTGATTTTGAAGTAACCAAGAGAGGAGGAAAGAGTGGTAAGTTTCGTATTTTCAGGTGCTCGTGTATACGTCTGTCGGGAGTCGTGTAATCACAGGCGATCTCACCACTCACTTTCAAAACGGAGCCACTTTTCTGAACATGGTGCGTGGCGCGAGATCGATACGCCACGAGGGTATTTACGAATGTTTCCATGCGTGCGGCCATGCGGTGAAAAGGCAAGAGACGAGGGAAGAACGAGGTGGGAGAGGTATGCGGGTCGGGGTCGAGTCATGCATATCGATGACGGCTCCGTATGAATTTTTCATAGTCTTTTACAATTTGAAAAGCTGCTTGGCCGTCGTTTTATGGTTCTATAAACCCAGTGACCCCGGGGGCGAAGTGACGGTGGATCTGCTTCACGATCTCTGCGCCTCGTACCGGTCCCATCGGCCGTTCGGCCTAACTAACTGTTTACAGTCGGTAGTTCGACTGGTTTCAAACGGTCGGGTTCGGATCGCGGATGAAGATTCCGCGATCCGCGGGAACGTCCGTGCTTCCTCTCCCTTCCTTGGCAATTAGCCATTGATACCGGTCCGTATCGACGGAGAAGGAAAACGCCGTGCGCCGAGTAACAGATCGTTTCTTTCTCTTGCCGCGGCAAGAAGGAAAAACGGAAAGGAAAATGAAAGGAGATGGTGTGACGGTTAATATGTGACGGACGGCGAGGCGCGAGGGGAGGGTGAAAATGGTGGGGGTAAGAAGGGAAAGAAGAAGGTTGGAAGGGGTGGCAAGAAGAGTTGGAAGGAAAGAGAGAAGAGCGAGGAGCGAAAGATATTGGTAATCGAGGAATCCGGGAACCCAGAACCGTTCGAACGGTTGGCTGCCGCAGACGCAAGGTCGTTGTCCTTGGGGGATCAACGACCCCTCGATGAGGGATGCCGTGGTGGGGATATATATACACCTCCCCATCCATGACGCCGCCGTCTGGGTATAAGGGCGCCTCCAGGTTGGGTTAGACCTAGGGTTAGATTTAGAAGTCAGGAATAGGGATGCGGATAGTCACGTAGGTACATGGGATAGATAGCTGGGTAAAGAGGAGTAGGAAGAGGAGGAGGAGGAGGAGGAGGAGGAGGTGGAAGTGGAGGAGGGGAGGGAGGGGGGGAGGAGGCGAAGAGAAGGGAACAGGCAGAGGGAAAAAAGCTGAAAGGCAGCCCGGGGATAGAAAGTCTATGTTGGGTGGTAAGGCGGGAGGGCGCCGTGAGAGAGGCAGCCAGGGATAGAAAACGTCGACGGGCAGGTTCGTAACCGAAAACGAGGTACCCAGGACCAGGAGGCTTCGATCGTCGGGGGCAGGAAGTTTTGTCTGTTCGGTCGGAGAGTATCGTAACCACCTGTTGGGATGGTGAATCCGCTCTCGAAACGCCACTCGAGCGATGTTTCACCGGGCCCTTTATCGTCGGCAGCGAGTCAATTTCGGACATCCTGCGGCTTCGTTGCGGCCCGATAGTTTTCAGCTTCCCTCGATGATTAATGGGAAACGTGTATGCAGCATGGATGCGGCGAGGGAAAGAAAAGCAGCGTTTTCGAAACGGCGGTCAGAAACACACGCTTGTTTGAATTTTTCGCGAACGCTGCTTTTCCTCTTTGCGAAAGAAAAAAAGAAAAAAAAAAAAGAAGAGAAAAGAAGAGAAAAGATAAGAAAAAACACTTGCGTGTTGCAGTGATCGGAGTAAATCATGGCATCGACGGATATTCTACCTATTCCTGGCCACTCGTTCCGATTTTTCCGCTTTTCTTCACCAGTGGCTGACTGGAACAGGAAGCGTTTCTTGCGAGGTACCTGTCGCCGGAAGGAGCCGAACTCGAGGTGTCACGGTCCGTAAGGGCCGTGAGAGTGCAGGACGATAGAGGTGGATCCTTTCTGGACACAGCGGAGCAGAGCAGGGCAGGCGAGGCCAGGGAGCAATGTCCCTTCGAGTCATCCCCTTCCTAACGTATATGTAAGGTATGCACGCCGTTACTCGCCTCCACGGTTACTGACTCTTTTTATCGAACGACAGAATCTTCTATAATTCCTTTCTAACTTCCCCCTTTGAACGTTAATCCCTTTCGTTCGCCGTCCCGTCTTGATTTCCCTGTCTTCCTTCTTTCCCATTTTTCCCTCGAAAAGCCAACCATATCCATTTCCGTTTCGGACGACCATTCGAAGACAAAGGCATAATTCGCTTTGGGACAGGAATCGGGCAACAATCGGGTACCGTTGTTCATTAGTTACAGCTTAAGTATTCCTTGAGCTAATCGCACGATTCTCACGAGAATTCAAGTAAAACGGAGAGGACGAAGCAACGTTTAAAACGGATGAAAGAAACAATAAGCCTGACCGTTTCCTTCTGCCCGGTGGTTTCTTGGAATATCCTTTGCGGTCGGCAAATGGATAAGGATATCTGCCTCGAACTCCAAACAACTGTCCGTCTAGTCGAGTCATACTTTGTGCCGAGGAGAAACTTGATGAAACTCTCTCGCCGTATTTCTATTCGCGTTGTTCTCTCTCTCTCTCTCTCTCTCTCTCTCTCTCTCTCTCTCTCTCTCTCTCTCTCTCTCTCTCTCTTAAAAAGTATTCAACTCCGTTAATCTTGAGAAGGGTCACTCGTCAATCGGGGAACCACTGTACTTTTTCCGGAGCAAATAGGAAAAATATCGTTTACGCCTCTCGGGGTATAGCTGGCTTGATAAGATAGTCACCGCGCTGTCGCAGCGCGTACACGTACACGTGATATTAAGGAACGAGATAGAGAAAGAGGCATGGTTTCAAAATCTCCGTTTTTACTCGCACCTCTACTCGCCGTCCGTTATTCCCTACGAAATCTTCGTTAAGTAACGTTTCACCGTCGACGAAACGCACGTTTCATTGATAAACGAAACTCGAGATCGTGCGACCGATCGGCATCCTCGGAGATCGTACGACACAGCCAGTGAATGACGAAATAAAAAGGAACGGGGTCGCCCTATATTCAACATCTTTGTCTGTCTTTCCTTCTCCTCAATGGTCCTAATTAGGTACATACAGTGTACACATAAGGCTGTATTGCGACATACCAGTACCGTTCCAACTGGAAACCATATGCGACGGGGGGTTAAGTGTCGTCTTAACCTCCTTTCAGTGTTTGAATTCCTAAATCGGCGCCGATATCCATCTAAAATTCAGCTTTCCTTATCTTTTTCATTTCCTACCGCCTGATTCGTCAATCACAATTGAAACGTCGTTTCTTTAATTTAATTTCGTAAGAGCACGATCAACGTTAACGACGATTGCGTTGTTAACAGCTAGTTAAGCACGTGTGAAAACGTTCTACTTTTCATTCTGCCATGAATCACAACGTTGTTTTTCGTTGTTAGAGTGATTCGAAAGTGTAGCAACTGCGATAATATCATACCGTAACCTGTCACCCTTGACCGTGCGATTAGCTATACTCCACCTTCGCTAAGAGGTATGTATATGCAAATGACAATGTAAATTCACATATGGTTATCATAAATATCCAAATCGACCATGTGTCAAATTACGGTGTACAAAGGAAATTCTAATCTTGCGAGGAGTGACCGACCGATTTTAATCTTGCGAGAAACGTAACACACGTTTGTTAATCTTCAAATATATACTACACGTGTCAATTAATAATATTTCGTTTTCGACTTGTCGTTTTAACGAACGTCGAGCCAACTCGTGGCATCGTGATAGCTAGCAGAGAATTTTATGCATTTCATCCTCGATGATTTTCTCGGCGTTCAAGTATACGTGAATGCAATACGGGGCGAGTACATTGGGATCCGCAGGAATTGAGAGCACATCCCTGATCTTAATTATAACATTGTGGTTATACCTAGCGGCGGCGGCGGGCGGAGAGCCGCGCAAGTGGCTTTTCGAGTATGAAAGGATCGTTGTGCTATACGTCTAACGGGGAGCCACGAGCCTTAAAGGCGAGGCAAGGGCTTGGCTTTGGCTAAGAAGTCGGTTGGCCGTCGAACGACGTTGCTAGCCGTTTCTCAACCCTTTCGTGGTTACGTCACGTTAAAAAAGCTATTTGGGGTCAACACCCCGCTGCAGCGACACGTGTAGTACTCCTCGACTCTCTGTCTCTCCGCGTCCTCCCTCGACCCTCTCCGCCGTCCTCTTTTCCCCGGCATATGAAGGCAGCCGTCTCCTCTCTGCCTACTCCTCGCGATTCCGGACGCCATTGCTGCCACCTCTTCCGATATATCCCTTCTACTCGACTTAGTTTCCACTGGATTTCTAAGTTCCCTAGATACTAGCCGAGCCTGTGGTCTAGCCGCGCATGAAGCAACGACGTTCCACAGGCCACGTTCAACTGGCCGAATCGTCGTGGCTATCAACTGGCCACCGACGGTTCAAGGCTGTCAAAGATCAAGAGACTACGGTCGACACCCTGTTTATTCATGAATCCACGGCCACGACCGTATTAATTTAGGGATCGTGAATGGAAAAGTAACGCGTTCGACGATATCTAGTTTTCACATTCGATTGGAACGTACGATTGGAGGAATCGCTCGCCTAGATACGCTCCTGCGTCGCTATAAATTAGGAAAAACCAAGATTTCTGATAAGATAAGGAGTATATCGCGCGAGAGTTACTCGCGTAAGAAGAAGAAGAAAAAAAAAAAACAGTTGCTGATAGGTGTCTTTTATATATACGTAAGCTGTTGTTTCGAAAGATAACCGAAACCGAGATCGAAACGAAGATTTCTCGAAAGAAATTTGTTTCGGCGTATGTGGCACGATACGAGTTGCACAGCGGGGAGGCCACGCGATTAGAATTGACTGACACGCAGCCCCAAGCGATACAGCCCTGGCCGTGGGCGCGCGAGCCAGTAGGAGAGCCAACCAAGCTTCTCCAAAAGCGCGTCGACGTAGTAGAATTAGCACGCTAGTCTCGCTAGAGCGAAACCAAGGACGCTAGAGGAACGTAGCAAAGAAACAGCAAAAGTAGCAGCAGCAGCAGCAGCAGCAGCGGTGGCGTGGCCTACGGTGGTGGTGACAGTGGCGGCAGCGATAGCAACAACTAGCAGAGGAATCGAATCATCGTGTGACGGCGTCAGCGGCGGTAGCGAAGAGAGTCAAATCATCGTGGCGGCCTGCGGCGTCCAAGACGACGACGATGACGACGACGACGACGGCGGCGGCGGCGACGGCGGCGGCGGCGGCGGCGGCGGCAACGGCAACGGCAACGGCGATGGTGGTGGTGGTGGTGGTGGTGGTGGCGATCGTGATGGTGGTGGCGGCGGCGGTGACGGCGGCGATAGCTCCCCTTTACCCCGACCCACGTTGTCTACGTGTATGTCTCTGCCTCTTTACCCCGTCGCCGCTGGTACCGTCCCCGCCGTACCGACCGCCCCCACCCCAACTCCGCCACCGACAGACGATCCCTCCGTTCCCGCGTGCTCTGTTCTCCCCTGCCCGACTCTGAGACTCTCCGGAGCTTCCCCTTCCAGCGACTTTTTTTGTCCGTATACGCCTCGTCCATCGCGACAAGGCAGCTTCCAAGCCTTTTTATCAGTCGACCGAAAAGATCCGTGGGGATCCTTCCGCGGCAGCGCCCCGCGTATCGCTTCCAACTTCAACCAACCCTCGCGCGTTGGAAACGCGTTACCTCGTGGCATACGATACGTTTCCTTCTCTCGTTTCGAGCACCGAGCCACCGAATTTCCATTGTTTCGCTTCTATTTACGCGTTACGTTCTCAAACGTTTCAAACGAGTACGAGGTTAAAAGCGCGGGAAA